GGGGGGGGGGGGGGGGGGGGGGGGGGGGGGGGGGGGGGGGTGGTTGTCGCCAACGTTATTTGTGAACGGAGCTACATTTGTGGAGTGTGCTGTTGCCACCCCTTCACCAGTGATGGTGTCATCACCGGCTCGCCCAAAGGAACCGCGCCCACGGTTTTGAGTAAACCTTAAAAAGGCTGGTTCCAGGGGGGAAGAGGGAACGCCTCGCTCTACCGCCAGTTTCGTATGTTAGTTCCCATAGAATTATACGTACCACCTTAACTGGAGACTTTTTCTAGTATGAATGAAGCTCGTGCTACTGCAGGGCCTCATAGGCACGGCAGACACGGCTTCATAGGTCTTTTTAGAAAACACCCGCAGCGGTCGATTCGAACTAGCCCCCATAATGCTTGACTGCGCCCGCTAGATGAACCAAGTTTTAGGTGCAAGACGTCAGGCAAAATTCAGAGAACGAAAAAATATGAAAGGATCAATTTTGGTTCTGCACGCTGAACTGCTTGAGTGTTCAAAACCATGCCTCCTTATTACTAGATGGAGCAGCAGTAGTCTTTCATGTCCCTGAAAGAGTAAACAACGTTAAATTCAGGACGCATTTTATGTATTACTATGACAAATATATGAATATGTATGAAAAATAACACTTTGATATGGTAACCGAATAGGTTACAATTGGCTCCGATTCGGTACCTACATTCTACATACCTGAGACGCGGCAGGCGTGGCAATGTACTTCACTGGAACATGGCGCAGAATGGGTAATTCGTGGGTCACCTCAATTCGAGAAAAGTGTCGTCTTGCCTTACAGGAGAAGGCATGATTAGAGTTGACCCGAAATGAAGAAACCCCGCCATCATCTCAGACGCTGCCGCGTTCAAAGCAAGTACGCAGCCACGCCTACCGCATCCCTGGGATTTGGGGTATAGCTAGTTCGATTTTATTGAACCTTGTTTCTGTGTTATGACAGGAATTTGCCAAGGCAAAATGCCGAAAACAAGGAGGGGTGTAATCTTCAACCTAATCGAATTCTAGACGAGACCTTCCAAAAACGATTTTGTATCACAGTACTGAGTAACCACCCGTTCATTTTTCTTGATGAAGAAAATAAATAGCTCGTGTTACCGGTAAAATTGTGTTAAAATGGCATCGGATGAACGGCCCCTCAGTAGCTTCGACCGCCTGTATGTAGCGCTCCGTGGTAGGATCATCATCAACTTCCTGAAATGATATGATATAAGAAATAGAGATAGTACTAAAAAACCACTGCTTAAAAAAACTTACTCAAAAATAGTAGCAGGGGTGCTGCATAGTGGAAAAATGACGAAAAAGCGAAGGCGAACAGCCGAAAACCGCGAGAAAGCCTTTGCTTTGCAGGGCTTCGGACGAGCATCTTTGAACGAGTTTCCCGTTGGCATCATACCAACAACTGCTGTTGGTAACAACCGCTTCATCCATGTAACCCATGTAGCTTCATATCAATTGTACTTTATAAAAGAAGCGATAATAGTACCTGCGCCGATGTTACTGTCCGACCATTTCCGGGCGGGCAGTTGCAGTGGGCGTTCGGGTCGGCATGGTGCACCCGGATTAGGCGCTATGATGGCGCTCCTAGGTAGGGAAAGGCACCAATCAGCCATAAGAAATCACGAAATTATTTCGTGCTGAGCGTATTTACCATCTACGCTTTGCCGTTCAGTGCACCCTTGCCTTTAGCAGGTGTATTTATGGGATGGTCAAGTAGAAGGTGAAGGATATGGTGACGGCACACAAGACCTGTATCGCGCACTACCAAAAGCAAATTCCGGTCCCGTCAATAGAAAGGCTCTTACCTTGGCCAAGGTAGAGCACTTCAGAGGCTCATAGGAGTAACTTGACCCTGTGAAAGGTAAGAAAAACGCCCGCCAGTTGCTAGGAAGTACGGGTACTACCGACGAAAGACGTTGAGCAATAAGGTGTGTGAAAAAGCCTAGCGACTACACAGCAGGTGAAAGATACTGAAGCGTTAGCAACAACATCTCAGCGAAACCCCAGCGCTAAATTCGCACGCTCGCGGAAGTCTCGAAAACCGCTGGTCCTCCTCCTTACATCTCAGTGGAAGTGGTGACCAAGGAGTTCAACATCATGTAAAATAAGGGAGCACAAGGAAAAGAGGACAAATCGGCATTCATTCAATATTCAGACACCTTCTTCGGACACGGTAGTTGTTCACGCAAGCACAGAAGACTTGTCGCTTTTGTCGCCCAAAAGTACGTCGGGGAATGCGCAGACCGCTTGCGAGGAAGGCAACTCCCCGCCCACTGCCCAACACAACCACCAACCTCCACATCTAAAGACTAACGGTGGAGCGATTATTCCGCTACCAACTCTCTCCATTAGTGATTGGTAAGAGTACAACGCTTCCCCTTTGTCGTGGAACACGTACAAATTCGGTTCGGCATGGAATTCTACATGAAGCATCTCAACTGAATTCTTCCTGCCTTTTCCTTCACTACTGAGTCCCTTACCACTTGTTCATTGGTATTTGAGCAGCACAGCTCACCATTTTTTAACGAAAGAAACGCCTTTGAAGTCACACTGCTAAACGTTGCCCAACTTGCCATGACGCGCTTTCTATGAGGTAAGTTGAGCGAGGGTGGCTGTCGCCAATTTCCATTCTCTTCACGTGTTTCTCAAAATTTCCAAAAAGCTCATCTTCACTATGATATTTGCGAACGGTTACAAAGGTGTGCAACATCTATGACGACTAAGTGGATCTCCTCTATGAGGCTGCTTTTATACTTTGCAGCAGCGTCCACCAGTGACCAATAGCGTCCACCAGCATTCCGAGCGTCCGGCAGCGACAGCGACCAATAAAGTATAGGTATCAATCCAGCGTCCTGCAGAGTCTCGAGAGCTAGGGAAGTATAGGTATCGGCTAGCGCCTGTCAGAGTCTGTCAGCGTCTAGCAGCGTCCACCACGACCAACACCAGAGTGCTGGTATAGAGTATAGGGCAATGGGGGTACCAGCTGTCTGCTACCCTCCTGTCGCTATACACTCTCCACTTCGGGACGCTGCTGGTCGCTGACGGACGCTAGATCGATACCTATACTTCCCTAGCCCTCGATAGGCTGCTGGTCGCTGGTGGACGCTGGTACACGCTGGCAGACGCTGTCAGGCACTGGCAATGCTAGATCGATATCTATACTTTCCTAGTCGCTGACGCTGCCGGACGCTCGGAACGCTGGTGGACGCTATTGGTCGCTGGTGGACGCTACCGCAAAGTGTGAACGCAGCCTAAGAGGTCCGCAGCTAGAGAATTATACTACAGTCTTGCTCGCTGCGGATGATGGGGCGTGTCGAAGGGAGAGTGTTTGGTGCAACGCCAGCCCGTTCTTTCTTTTACCTTCTCGGCAAACGACAAGCTGTACTACCTCATTCTACCATCTCCTCGTTTCACCTTATCACTCGAAACTGAGCAAAAATTAAGGTGATAGCTCGATGTTCCTTATTCTGAGCGCACACCACACGTTTGCGGGCATGTCGCTAGCACGCTTGCTGCAGGAACTACAGGGGGGGGGGGCAAAAAAAGTCACTTTTCTTCATTGACTTTCGAGGCGCTATAAGTTACACTTTATTAAATTCTGATCGGACATTTTTACCACCATATTAAAGAGCATATTAAATACTATGAGGCGGAGGTGGTGTAGTGACAAGTGGCGCGCTTACCACTCGCGCGGTTGGTTCAAATCCCGGGTCGACTCCCGCCCAGGCCAACCAAGCCTTCTACCCTCCGGGGACGGTAAATTGGTACCAGATTCGGGAGGATAAAACACTGACTTGTACATCGGCTGGCCACCGCAAGTCATTGTATAGGCCACATCGCATTCAATAAGCCACTACGATTCTGAATGGAAGTAGAATGCGTGCCGCATCCCACAAAGGGATTGATCAACGGCGAAGACTTTATCCTTTTATCCCTATCTTACTCCGCCACAGCCTTCTGGACGAGCGCCATCGAGAGATTCTGGCACGCGACCGCGATGTGGTGCCTGAGATCAGCGAGATAGTCGATTTCTCCGCCACCGTAGACCACCCTATTGAACTCCGCCCGAACCGGGTAATTGAGGGGATTCAGGTCAGGTGACCTACTTGGATATTCCATCTTCTTTAGGTACTCAGCCCCCTTCCATTCCAAGTAGGCGAGTGTTTCTCCAACGCCCTTCGATTTCATGTGGTGGCACTCAATGCTGTAGCAGTACAAAGTTTCCAAGAAGGTACGGGCGACCACATGTGAGGAGGATATTCTTCACGAGTTGCCCAATGTAACCGCCAGCGCTCACCTTCAGTCCGGGGTCCACGAAGAAAATATTGGTCTTTCCATTCCAGGTACGTCCGGTCCATACCATCAACCCGCGCCTTGGCGACTGCGGTGAAGATGATGTCCTAGACCGTGGCGACGTTGTCGGAGCTGCTCGATGTTGGAGGTCATCCAGATCGAGAGTACTGGTCTCCAGGTAGCTATCCATGGGTGACTCCATACTAGAAGTTTCGCAGCTGTTTGGAGGTGACATGAATTCCAAAGGTCTTCTCCAGTCAGGCTGCGACTGGAGATGACTTCATATTTTGGTGTACATGAAGGTGATGGGCGAGAGCCAGCTCCTGCTTATCGAGGAACATCTTGGGTATCTTCCGCCCTGGTACTCGTATCCACGTCCTCTGTCTGGGCAGCGAAAACTTTGCTGATATGTGACTCGGTCGAAGTGACTTTTTTGCCCCCCCCCTGTAGGTGACCACATCCAACAGCGGACGTGTTAGCACATCAGAAAAATTTTGCGGTCCCAGTAGTCGCTGCTACCACATTTTGCGCGGTTAGTCAGGCTTCCAAAATTTGACAAAATTCAGTTGCCAAATTATATAACCTCCAGCACTGCCGCTGATATTCGTTTCACCACCCTGAATCGCTTAGGAAGCGTTCAGACTTCGCGGCGGCAGCGCTTCAGTCGCGCGTTCGACGCGATCAATGCAGTCGAAAGCATGCGCATCGATCGCGTTGAACATGCGACCGAAGGGCTGCCGTCACACGGCGACTCTCGCGCGCCTTGAGGGTACGTTCATACTTTGCGACAGCGTCCACCAGCACCCACTAACGTTTCGAGCGTCCCCAGCGTCTTAGGAAAGTCGAATATCAGTTATCGGTCTAGCGTCTGCCAGCGTCTCGAGGACTAGGGAAGTATAGGTATCGATCTAGCGTCGGCCAGCGTTCACCAGCGACCGGGAGTAGAGAGTATGGGAAGTAGGAGGGTAGCAAACAGCTGGATTAGGCGTCGTGAAATTGCGGCGTGTGCAACCGCACCGCACAACTGCTAAAGCACAGAATTATGCAATTTAATGTACGGTGTAGTGAAGTTGTACAGTGCGGTCGCATAGTTTCAGGACGTCTAATCCAGGTGTTTGCTACCCCCCCTACTTTCCCATACTCTCTAATCCCAGTCGCTGGTGCACGCTGGTAGACGTCTGCGAACGCTGTCAAACGCCGGATCGATACCTATACTTCCCTAGCCCTCGAGACGCGCAGACACTCCTTGGACGCTGGCAGACGCTGGTAGACACCAGATCGATGACTATACTTTCCCAATCGCTGGCGGTGCTAGACTCAGAGCGCTAGTGGTCATTGCTAGACGCTGCTATAAACCGCCGCAAAGTGTGAATGCAGCCTGAGCCGGGATACCTGCAATGGCCTGGGTCACGGTAGCAGCGACTCACGGAGTGCGGAATCTCTAACATCACGACACGCTCTTGATATTGAGTGGTAGAGAACAGTAAAACTCTCACCGAACGTGAGAAGGCGCAGAGAACGTAATCAGCGTTCATAGTTATGGGCACCCATAATGCTGACAGTGTACCCTCGTCATCCGGGCAGTTGATTAGGGCGGTCGTCAACGGGCCGCAGCGCGTGCCAGGAACTATTTGCTTTTTCCAGGCTAATTTAGTCATTTTTTCCAACTTTTCACTGTTTTGGCTACTTTTTCCCAGATTAGCAGCTCCTTATCTTCACAAGGTGGAAAAAATGACTAAATTAGCCTGGAAAAAGCAAATAGTTCCTGGCACGCGCTGCGGCCCGTTGACGACCGCCCTAATCAACTGCCCGGATGACGAGGTATTGTTGCGTGTCTCTGTCTTGGTCGCCGTTTGCTTGATAGCAGGCGGAAACATTATAAACATCCAGCTGGTACAATCCTACACAAGACTATAAGTTCAACACAACAATGGGTATGCAGTGCCCCGAAAATTGTGCGTGAAACTAAGTGCGTCATCCCCGTGACTGCACACATATGGACACATCGTAAGACGATTTAGTTACAAATGGCTATTAGCATGTGTCGCCTTTTGCACAACTTGCTTGATGTACGTTTCATCATTGGGCCGGGCTCTTGGGCTAATGCCGTTGAGACCAGGGCACAGCATTGGTTGGGGATTCCCTATGGGGGGGGGTCGTATTTGGGCTGGGAAAAATTTATTTTTATAGTTGATTTTTCTCGCTTTTGCGGACGTTTTGGAGGGGGGGGGTCGTAAAAGCTCGACCAAAATCCCCATCGAATGCTGTGCCCTGGTTGAGACTCCAGCTGTTTCGGCACCGAGCTCATTTTTAAATTGCCTAAGTCACCAAATCCGCTAAAAACTTGTATTTAGGGGTAGTTTAACATCCTGATTACGAATATGACATTCACTCTTGCCGCTGGCGCTAATGGATGACACTACGATTATCTGCGCTCCGCTAAGGCTGAGCCCAAGAGGTAATCGTAGTGTCATCCCTTGGCGCCAGCGCCAAGAATGAGTGTCATAATTGTAATCAGGATGGTAAATAACCCTTGTGTACATGTTTTCAGCGGGTTTGGTGACTTAGGCAATTTAAAAATGAGCTCGGTGCCGAAGTTGCTGGAGTCCAAACGGCATTAGCCGGGCTCTTGTGCATGCGCCCCCTCCAAACCAAGCAGGCTTTTGAGTTAACACTAAGGTAAAAAGAGAACTGCAATAGCAGAGGTTCTGTTTTGAAAGCTTTTCATCTGCAATTATTAAAACTCACCATGAGCAGGCCCTTGGCACCAACATAAAATTCGCAAAAATTCACACGGTTCGTAGGACGTTCGCCGTCCATAGTGCAGGAGATATAGATCACCTTGAATGTTGGCACTTCAATCATAGCAAGTAATTTAGTGCACAAAAAACTAAACAGATAATAATGAATCGGGCAAGGTAGATCCATCAGTGGTAGGTACGATTCTGACGGATGATGGTAAGTCAGGAAGCATCATCAGAAAAAGAAAAGAGAAAACAAGAAGACGAGTTGCAAGAAAATAAGTGAGAGCATTCAGTTAAAGTGCAATTGGAAGGTTTTCAAACACAAATTTCGTCGTTTCAGTACGCGAGCTCCAACACGATGAACCATGACAACTCCTTTTCTGGATAGATCCTTTGATGCTCGGGAGCCTGACGGTGACGTGAGAACTAAAATTTGTCGTAATGGTCCTAGCGCGAAACGCCGCCGTTTTTAGTTCTCACGTCACCGTTTTGCACATCTGATTCCTTGGCAGTCAATTCTCAGTTCCTCGGCACTGAGAATTGACTGCCAAGGAATCAGATGTGCAAAAGAAAACATACCTCGAGAGCCATAAGCTTTTTTAGGGAAAAGGATGTCCGGTGAGACCTCTTATCAGACGTAAAAACTTGCATGTGTAAGATCACGGTGGCTGAAGTTTATCATGCAGATATGAGAGCGCAAAGAAAAAAAAACAGAAAGTTGGCGCAATTAAAGGTGTCGGCTGAGACCTCCTCAGGTGAGAGCTCATCCAATAAGCGATGGCGCGGTGTGCGCGCGTACCATAAACGAGGTAGGTCGCGAATACGGACAAAAACCTATTTTCTCGTATTCGATCAATAGCACGCCAAAAAGCAGCTCACACAGTACCTCGTATTGGTAAGTCAAAAGAAAACATACC